AAATGGTCGTGTTTATCTTTGCCATGAATCCAGATAAATACAAGAAGGAATCTAACCGAATTTTATAATGTTTCCTTCGCCAGGAGTTTAGTTTGGTCACGAAACTCATGGCCTGATGCTCTTGTAATCGTTTACCAAAAACGGCCGCCGCCAACTCGATAGCCGCTTCGTTATATGTCCACATACTTTGAGCACAAGAAAAATCCAAGAGCCAGCAACCTCTAAAATAACTCAATAGAAAGGTTCTATGAACTATAGGGAAGATTCCATCAAAGATTCCATCACTCATTGTGGAGTAGCCGTCATTAACTCTGCCATTACAACGGCCGACGATAAGAGGACACAGTAAATCCACGTAAAAACATTCCACAGGCAAACAATTTCTAAATAACGCCAAAAAATTATTCTGTAATCACCATAGAACGATTCTTAATACAAAACTTCGCTAACTATCGAACGATGGCTGAGATTTAGACAGATAAAAACAGCCTTCCAAAATCTCCGACAGAACTTGAAAAAGACGGGCTAACTTTTTCAAGTTTGTTTTCATTGGCTCGCGCATGCGTGTGGGGTGACATAGCCCCTTTAATACTGACGGAGCCACTTTAACTATCCGAAGGGATCCCAGGAGGCATTTAAGGTTCTAAAGTCCTACTGATGTCGCAGTGCCTGTAAGGTGCATTTTAGAAAACTTAGCCGAGAAATGACGGGAACGTTTTGTTACCTTAGTTCAACGTCTTTATCGCTATTTGGAATTACCAGTACCAGTTATAATCTGTTAATTGTTGTTTTGGAATTAAGGGTGAAAATGAATCTGAACCAGCCCTGCAAAAGCGAGATTCTGGTAACTTAAACGTTTATTTTTGGAAATCTTCCTATGAGTACATTTCTCGTCATTTTTAAAGTGCATCTCTGGGTTCTTTTGTAGGAAAGATTTATCCTTTCTGTTCATTAACAGCCAGCCATAAAAGAGCACACTTCCAATTTGGCTTTTAATGCGGGGTTCATATACTAAAGCAACGATAGCTACATAAAGAAACAAAATAGGCACGCACTTGGTTTTATATACTGCATACTTGAACACAACTTTTAAAATTACTTCGTCCATGGAAGTGGGGAGCCGAAGGGGGCCACATTGGAGGCCAGCTCCTCTAAAACCATAGGCACACAGTTCCACTTATTAATCAACTAAATATTGCAGCTATCGCTGTTTACCAAGCTACAATTTTTTTTAACCGAATAGTGTCCATCTCTATTCTTGTTCGACAGCATTCGATCACGGCGTGATACCTGTTCATTAATCTTGGACTAGAGTTGCAACCTAAATTTTGTTGATAAAGGATTTTGAACCGTGAGTAACCGGTTTTGTCATAATCCTTTAAAAAAAGTGCTGTTTTGTGATCTAAACATATAGTTCCCTGACGGGATGACGATAGATGCAGATGGAATGCTTTGGGTCGCTATGTATGATGGATGGAAAGTATGTTTAATTGCCTGGTATTTATGAGATTGAAACATAATTGTATTTTAATGCTAAGTGTTATAATTCATTCGCTTGAAGTGCTTATTCTGTTTTGCAAGTGACGAGCTTTTCTCATGACAATACACCTAATCCCCCCAAAAATCCACGAGATAGCAAAGGTGGTTGCATAACACCTTTCTTCTACTTCATATCTTAAATTCTTGCATTACTACAGTGCTGCAGTAAATACGTCTTTCCTGGTATTTTTTCTTTTCTTTTCGTACTGGTTTCGCCACAACAGTTTATAAGAACTGCTATTAGATTGAATATTTCAATCACATCCAAATGCTGTTACGATGTATCTTAACTTTCATCATAAGACGATTGAAGGTAACATTTATTCCTTTGCAAAGGTTCTTTGTTGCAACCCAATGTCGGGTGACATTGTTCGTCAAGTCGATTTACCTGTTGCCAAGGTAACCGCTTGTTGCTGGGGTGGACCAAACCTCGATGAACTTTATGTAACATGTGAAAGGTAAATCACATTTTAAATTGTATTTTTATAGATATACATTTTTTTTTCTTTTAATCTTATCCAAATGTACAAGCAAGTAATTAATCTCTTGTGAATGTACCTATACTATGTGTTTAATTACTTAGTTTTTTTTTAAAGGCCGGTTTCATTTTACGCCGGGTCATTTTAAAATTCAGAATACTAGAAAGTTTGTCGACGTTTCCTTTTTCTCTAAACATAACTATCAAGGCAGAGCATGATCGACATTTTACACAGGCTGTTGGCCTTATGTAGTAGGTGTGAGATGTACCACTTATTAACCTCGTCCGTTTGGTCATTACAGCGAAATCTCAGACCGAGGTCTTGTGACCGAGCGATAGCGAGGTCAATACATCAAAGCCGATGTCTGAGATTTCCCTGTAATGACCGAACGGACGAGGTTATTAAGTTATTTATTATATGGCCTTTTTAGCTCTATCATGGTTCGTAAAACGTCAGACAAACAAATTTCAAGGACTTTTCAAGGATTTTTGTGGTCACCCTATTGGATAAAACACGTCATGAAGTCATTTACGGTTTTTACTTCTTCAGCTATCGTTGATCACATTATTTAAGCTACTCTATGCAACAAGATTTGCAAATAAGAGACTGGGTACGACTTGCAACTGTATTTGAGGTACAGAAATAGCGTTTGAGATAAAGAAACAGGAATAAAATATTGTTCATGCTCAAAAATGTTTTCACGTTACACGTGAGTTTTAAACGTAAAGGTTCTTACACCGAGGATGAGCCAGATTTTTTCTCGGCAAGAAAATCTGAAGGTTTATGGCGTACACAAGGTTATGAATTTCAAGGACTTTTCAAGACCTGATAAAGAAATCAAGTACTTTTCAAGACGACTAGCAAAATTCAAGACCTTTTCAACGTTGTACCATAGTTATTAGAGGAGACTGGTTATGAAAAGCGACAAACATCAATGATAAAAACAACAGTGCTGCAGTTTATGTTGGAAGCACCCTGAAAGTGCACAATCCTTTGTTTTCTATTGGCAAATTGTTACGGAATAAATTAATGCAACGTTTTTATTGGTCAATACAATCAAAATGATAGGAATTCTTTTGAACGTTGTGCACTTTCAGGTCCACAAAAACATATAACAAAGGAGTCTGACGGGTTTCATAACCATTCCACTCAATTAACTATGGTTGTACGAACCATATCTATTAATATTTATAAAATAACTAAGATAGTACGCGCGTTCTGATTGGTTTATTGTGCCGGTAAACTCATAGAAAACTGAAACATGCTTAATGTTATTTTACAAAAGCAATAAAACACACTTTCTATGGGTTTACCGGCGTGATGACCCACTTGGGACGTGGGATGCTGAGAACATCCCGCGTGGGTTATCACGCCGGTAAACTAGTAAAGAGTGTGGTCTATGGCTTAAATAAAACAGCGGGAGTAATAGAGCCTGCGATCAATTAAAACTAATAACTGGTCAGCGGATTACTAAAAACACGTCACCTCAATGAATTAATTGTACTCTTGAGCCCGCGATACGGTCATTTGGCACTGGTCAGCGGATAACCTTTTTGATAGCTGTCAATTGACCATAGCAGGAGGGAGTCATAACTCGTGAGCGCGGCTGTCGTATGTGTCGGGCCATTGTGACGTCACAGCAAAGGGAGGCGTGCGACGAGCGGTGACCGCGACGAGCAGAATTTTCGAAAATGGCGGTGTTATAGTTTTTGACGTGAACACTTTGAACTTATTTTTTCCCGTGAATGAAGCAGCAATGTGGTTTCTCTTTCCATCGGGGATACCATTACCTCATATTCCAACGGAAAAGGTAAGTGTGTTTTGATTGCTACGTGAAAATTCGGCAAAAAAGGTTGCTGAAGCGTTTTGGTGAGTCTCCAGGTGAAGAAAATTACGTGAGTGCGTTATAATTTTGCAATGTTGCTGAATTGAGGTTGGTTACGAAAATTTGTTTTAAATGAGCTGTTTTGTCGTTATTTCGGTTCTTCAGTAAGACGTATATAAGTATACTGAGAGTTGTTAAGCTTACTATGACCTCGTAAAAGCCCAATCGTGGAGAAGATCACTTTTTTTGAGACAGTACCACATGTAATCTAAATATTTGTTCAGCCCTTGTAAATTTTTGTACACCTTTGCAACAAGGCACCAACAGGATAATTTTCAACCGCTCTATCAAGCGTGCAAGTGTTCATGTATGTACACTGTATTTTACTTTCAATACCCTCTCAACATCTGGTAGTATAATACATCAGTCAATTGAAACCCCGGCCTCCTGATCCCTAGGACTTAGCGGGGAATTTAACATTAGCCTGGTGTTAAAACACCACTAATTAGTCCACTTCCCGGGCCAAGTACTTTGTTAAAAGCACCTTATGGCAGGGAATTAGTAGTTGTAGTTCTAGACTTGATTTAAACCGCTCTCTTCTGTCTGGCACTCTGAATTTATTAATTTTATTTTCAAACCAATGGACCTGTTAATAGAAACTGTCAACTGCGTTACATCAAGTTCATGAGAAATGTCATCCCCTAGCTGAACTTTGAATTGTTAACAGTGCTTCCATCTGGTCCAAGGTTTACTTTTGTTTTGCAGTGTGCTTTTACATGTTAGGAGTGGGCACTTGGTTTCTTTGCTAATTGTCTAGTCCTGACGATCAACTTCATTCTGGGTTTTCTTTTTTTGAGTAACGGCAACTCCTTGCTTTCGATTCTGATTGTGAGTGATAATTCCCGGTTTGCCTAGTATAGACTAAAACCTTCAACCAATTGATCAGTTTCCTGGAACCCAAACTCTCTTTATACCCTATCCCAGAGTGAACTCCTTGAAAACCATACCCTTCAGAGTGGAACATACCTATGGCACTCCCCGGAGGAAACAAGGACTTCTCCAAAGTCACTGATGTTAAATCTCTCTCTCTGTCCCTGCTTCCAAAAATGTATAAATTATGTGCTGTGGAATCCCTGCTCATGAGCTGGGTCTAGCAGGAATTTTGTTAATTCCACTGCACCGAGGGTCAACACGTTGTTAAATATGTGTTAAATCCTGGCATTGGCTGCATTAAATCCCCGCTATGCCCCAGAGGTTTGGTGGGGGGAAGAAGGGTTTCAATTGACTGATGCATGTAGACTTTGTCACCAAGAGTAACTAAGTAGTCTATCTAACTATAATATATAGATTTAGCCAGGGCTAAAAGCGAGGCTCCCATTAGTAAATTTATAATTCAAATTAAACAATAAACTTGTATTCGAATTCCACAATTCAGTTAACTTTAGAGCACATTTATGTGACTTTTGAGGGAAAGGCTACCTGATTTTAGAGAAAAATAATTTGCAAACAGCCCAAGAGTGAACCAAATCTTACATCGAGTTGATAGCCTCATATGTACACTCAAAAACTGGTAATCATCTTTTATCACATTTAAGAGCCGTAATGGCTATTGATCACCGTAGATCAATTAGGCTTAGAAAAAAAATCAGGCCAACGTTTTGGCGTTCGACAAGTTTACTTTGCAAAATCTTGCCAACAAATCTGGGTGCGTGTAAACCAACCTTTTATACCATGGACAGAAAGCAGTATTTCACAATACAAATTGCTCTCATTCAATATTCATAAACTGTTAAAAAATTTTTCCAAAATCACCTATACGGCCATTCGGTTCTCACTTTTGTAGTGCGAGCTGTAGCGAGTGTTTGAATGAACATTAACAGAGTTACGCTCCAAGATAATAAAGAATTTATCATGTTTATTTTTTATTTGATGGTTTAACGCGCGGCATTTTGAGAACTCCTGCAAGCGATGTTCACTGAACGACTGAAAACAATCGGCATAGCGATTAAAATTGCAAGAGAGACTACCAACAATCAATAAAAGAAATATAATTCGGTGAAACATAAACAGAGACAACAATTTTCATTCAGGAAGACAAGTATTAAAGTGTCCCTAAATATCCTGAGTCTTCAAGCTTCAAGCTTAAGTTTGTTGAAGTCTATGTTTTAAGCCAGCTTCCCGGTGTTTGTTTTTTCAAAGACGAATTCGAGGCAAGAAATTCGCTCAAAGCTTTCTTTTCCGGCTAGAATTATAACTAAAGATTCTTTGGAACATTTTCTTTCTATTTGCGGTGAGAAACTGTCTAAAGGCTTTTTAAAATTCTGTAAGATTATATCAAACCAGATACTCGGTGAGATCGTTGTCTCAAAACTTACAAACGCGCACAAACTAAATTCCCGCATAAACTACGCTCCACTTCATTAAATTAGATACAAAAAACAAACATGAAATACAATAATTTCTCTGGCTTACCATTCGAGATGCAGCTCCTGAAAGTTATCAGGTAAAGCCAGTATCGCTTCAGACTTTGCAATCCTCTTACGCATCAAGCAAGGTGAAAACGAAAACGATGCCATCCGAAATCGGATTTCCGACTTTGACAAGCGACGTATTCCTCAACCAAAAACCCAATAAACAAACTAGCCATGAGTAACAGAAGACTCCTGATAGCAGCTGAATTTCATTTTGTACATCCAGTGGAAAAAGACAGTTAAAAACATCACAAGTTGACACAAAACTCTGTCAGCCTCAGCTGTTAAAGTAAACAAGATTCAAGATGCTGCATAAATTTTGCGCATGAACTCACATGTCAAATTTTGACCAATCAGAGCATAAAAATTGGACGAAGAGCGTGACCAACGCGTGACCATTGTGAGAAAAAACAAAAGCAACTGTCTTCCCTGCCTGTAACAGCTGGCTGAATTTTCACGTCCGAGGTCAGTTTGCAATCAAAATTTTAATTGTGCAGCACATAAACACAACACATTTCTTATGAATTAAGAAAAAAAATTGAACTTGAGCCTGCGATCACTTGAAAACTAGTTTACTTGTCAGCGGATAACTTCAAAAAATACTTGACCTCGACGGGTCGACACCTGAGCCCGCGATACGGTCAGGTGATACTGGTCAGCGGGTACTCTGTTTTGACAGCTGTCAATTGAGCAAAACATTGATGTCCAATATGTGTGCATTATCAGTTTTCCTGTGCTCCCAAACTAGTAAAAGTATGAGTTGAACGTTGTTCGCGATCTAGTAAAACAGTTAACTGGTCAGCGGACAGCTTCCAAATAAATCACGTCACCTCGATGAGTTGACACATGAGCCCGCGATATGGTCATGGGATACTGGTCAGTGGCTATCCTGTTTGGACAGCTGTCAATTGACCATATTGTTAATGTCCTATATTAAAGATGTGGGCTTGCCAAGACACGCCTGAGACACCCCTCCCTTCCTTTTGATAGTCTCCCCTACCCCACCCATACAATCTGTAGACGCGTACGTACGTACGTACGTACGCTCGGTCAATCACGTGACAACCAAACGAAAAGAGGTTGACCATATTCCATGGGTATGGGGCTCTGTCCCACGAGCGCTTCGCGCGCGCGGGAGCCCCGCTATACAACAGTATATAAATCTTAAACAGGTTTTCAGTACTATCATAGTTTCTACTATGGTGGTATGGACTAGAAAGGTGTAATGGTAATGCTAATCATTTTCTGTTTTTTCTTCAGGATTAACGCTACCGGTACTTGGACCAATGACGTTTCCAGGCTTACATGTCTTAGGGTGCGTTCGATTGGGAAATCCGGATTTAGATTTTCAAAATCTAAATCCGGATTTCCCAATCGAACGCGAAATCCGAAAACGGATTTCACCTCCGAGAAATCCGTCCTCAGGGTGGATTTCAATTAAGAAAATCCAAATCCGGATTTCATGGATTTCCTTTTTACCGTTCGATTGGGAAATCCGAAAAAGGATTTGCAAAACTATTCTCGTGAACAGTGTTATTCGTTTTGCTAAATATGCGTGCGCCGGGAAGACGGCTGTTCTTAAGGACAGTTTTTCAAATCCTTTTTCCGATTTCCCAATCGAACGGTAAAAATGAAAATTCAAAAACAGATATCTCAGCGTTGAAATCCGTTTTCGGATTTCGCGTTCGATTGCAAATCCGAAATCCGGATTTTAAAATGTAAATCCAGATTTCCCAATCGAACCCACCCTTACATGTAAAATGGTCACTCCGGAACATAAGATTACTGATCATCTACGTGTTCTTTTGTTTTGTTATTGACATTGTTAGGATTTATACCAAGAAATTATTTTCGTGAAACTGCTCACAGACAGGTTTTTAGAAGAATAATAATGAATAATGTGTTTTTACAGGCACAGCCTTCGAATCAATTCATCACTGGAAGCTTTAGCCTGAGAATGCAGACGGATTTCCAGTTGTATTTTTCAGTGACGTGAAACTACAACCCAAAATGTTTTGTTTAGTTTGATTATTTTTTTCCTTGCCCATTGCTTCTTGTACTGTCTTCAGTAATATGATCTGTCTAGACATTTTTTCTGAATTTTTCTTTTATTTAGTAAGATTATCTTGCATAGTTCCATGGAAAGTAAAAAAAAAGTGTTAATAAAAGATTTACGCTATAAGTATTTTGTTGCTGGGATACTTGGGTATCAGCTCTAGAAGCATAATTTCAAGTGAGGTTAGATATACTCCCACGTATTGACTTGGGAAATAGTTTCCTTATACTTACCTCTGAGGAGCAAATGAAGCAATTATTATTTACCAACGAAAAACTTACACCCGAATAGCTTCGGCAATCGAAGCACGTACAGTGTAGTTTAGGTGAAATGTTTGAATCTGCACTTATAGTTGGAATGTGCAACTTTCTCAGGAACAGGAACTTTCTCTTCAATATCGTTGTCCACGTTCGAAGTAAAAAATTTCAAATCGCCCAGTCATTAGCCTAAGCGTTCCGTTCCCAATTCTGAGATATTTTCCACCTATTTTATAAAAGCCATTGGTTTGATTCTGACTTTTTCTTGAAGGTATCGTTTTCAGGGGAAGGCTCCTGTTGAATCTTGCGTCAGCCCAACTGGTGATAAACGGAGTATGGGTGTAACATATTTCTTCGGCAATTTTGCAGACTTAAACTGTATTCAAACACCTCTCAAGTCCAAAAATTGACATAAAAAAGAAATACCCTCGAATTAATCGTATTACTCGTTTATTGTTGGATTAACTGGTTTATTTTTCTTGCTCTTCGCGGCTGACTCGCAAGGCACCTGCGGAAAGTAGTGTTTAAAGCCACTGATCATTTTTATGAAATTGTTATGAGATTTAATTTTTCAAAAATGAGGAAGATGAGAGTTCTGACCTATGTAAGTTATGTTTTTGTCTCCAAGCGCAGTATTGTGGGGTTTCTGGGTTTACAGGCCATTAAAAATGATCTTGGTGATGATTTTTATCGATCGGTACTGGAGCGTTTGTCAACACTTTTGACTCTTGTCGCCAGTCTGTTTTTTGTTTTCAGGTTAAAATTACGTTATTGATACTTTATATGATAACATCTGCAGCTTCGCTTTAGTTGTTGAAACGATTTGCTCTACTATTGCTGAGAAATTGGACCGTGAACTTTTCACGTCAAGGACTTTGTTTAGCGTCTTTCAAACCTTCCCGGGCCGGCTTGAACGTGAAGTCACGATGGCCAGAAACATCGGATTTTCATTCGCCAATATCTGCTCTAGTGCCCAGGCCTAAGTTTATGATTCCCTCCTGGACCATAGTATTGGTGTCCACCGTCAAGTTAAACACAGATTGTATATGCCTTGCACGCCTTGCGAATAATGCCGGGTCATTACTAGAAAATCTTGCCCACTTTATAGCAGCCAATCAGAGCGCAGCGTACTATTGTAGCCATATAATAATATTCGTTTGTACTCTTCACGCACGTTACTGCACGGAATATCCGTGGTCAAAAGGCACGCGTTTTGATTCTCATTCGCCTGGGGAAAAAAGTAATACGCCTGCCGACAATCGGATTCGTCGAACAAATACGAACTTCAATTTCGCGTTACTGGACTTTGGTCATGTCTGTGTCTGAATAGGAAACTTAGTTTTTGGTGGTGGTGTCGTGTTGAATTGTGTTAAAAAATGCACATAACTCTGACCTTGGGGCATTTTCCCTGAAAGCTAAACAGCTGCCTGACTTGACTTAACTTACTAGTTTCAGGTTGTCCACAGAAGAAAGAAAGGCTCAACCTCTCGCGGGTTCAGTGTTTACAATCAGGAATCTTGGCACACACGGCTTCCCATCTGCTGTGTTTGATGGTTAATCACGTGGAGCTCCTTAATTTGACGGAAAAGAGAATACGTATCTAGCTGGATTGTGGAAAACGGTGCTGCGCTGAAGTCATTGACGATTATTATTTTCGTCCAAAGAAAGCATGAAAGTTCCATCGATAAAAGTGGATGTGATCTTAATCAGTTTTGCTGCAATTACGATCAACTACTGTACCGTTCTGGTTTTATTCTAAGGTTATAAATACAACAATATCATTGGTAGTAAAATAAAAAAAATTAAGACAATTTCCAGTGTTAATTAGAATATGCACTTTCAGTGCACACATAAAAGGAATGAAAAGCAGGTTCATGTGCAGTACTTTGAACAGACTAACAAATATAAATATTACTATAAGTAATACTTAACAATTATTCTTTGAGACCGAAGTGAATAGTGGCTGAGTGATTTACCGAGGCGTGAAGCGGTTAGGTAAATATTTCTAAAGCCACTATTCACCGAGATTGAAAAGAATAATTGTTTTTAATTAGTATATACACACGAAGTGATCTCAACAAAATCGGAGAGGAAACCATTGAAAAGTACGATTTGATCCGTTAATCAAATCGTATTCAAATCGTAATCGAAAGTTTAAAAAATATATCTTTGCAGAATTTTCAAACATGGCATTTCATGCACACAAGTTTATCACTTCGCAAACAACAGCGTAATGGCTTAAATCAAGAGACTATAAAGGGGACAGAGAGGGCATCCCCCATATACACCCTATTCCATAGGTAATTCGTCTCGAGTTATTTTTAACACCGCAGATCTCAAGGGGGATTAGACAACTGCCAATCACATAATGCGAATGTGTTCCGCTTGGATGACCCACGCTGAGAGCCACGCGTCCTTCACGAAATGACGCAGAACAAAATGGGGGAAGACGCGGAGAGCGATTTCGCTATTCCTTTTGTCGACGAAAACGACCACAGCGAGATTTCTGCGAAAGCTGTGTCAGCGAAACCGAAATTAAAAAAGAATCGCCCTTCCTCTCTTGTATAGAGCTAACAGTAGAGCAGGGAAATCCTTAACACACTGAATATTCTCTCAGGATCATTTATAATTCACAGTTTGAAGAGAGCAATTTCTGTTTGATGTTTATTTTTTTCAGTCTTTATAGCGATTATTCCTACCCACTTACTTTGTCAATTGTAGGCGAACCCTCCTAAAGCTGAATTTCAAGGGACTATATTCAAGCTCAGAAAGAGAAATAAAATTTCGTCGTTGCTTCTTTACGTCCTCCATAAAAAGCGAAATTAGGCATTTTCACGTCGTAGTCGTGCAAAAACGGAAAAGAAATGAACAAACAAGTGTGTTGCACGTGCGAAGTTGTTGTTTTGCTAATTAAACCTATTGTTTTTTTGACGTTCTAGTTGTCGTCCGCGTCGTTGGATCTTAAACTCCCTAAATTGTACAAACGACCGGTTTCAATAGACCGGCGAAATTTCTCATTTTATTAAAGCACTGAGGTTACGACAACTTCGAGTTAAACTGATTTCACGGGTTGTCAAAGAGTCCAGCGATTCCTTTTTCCCAGGTGAGCGCCGACTCACTTCGCTTCAATATTCAGGAACGCTCTCGATCTTTTTACGCTTTCATTACCTCTCGCCCGACATGTTTTGCACGGCGTTTGGTCATGCGAAACCTCCACGAAACATCCACGCCGCGCGCGAGGTAACTTTACCCCGATTCTAAAAATAACTCGAGACGAATTACCTATGGAATAGGGTGTATATGGGGGATGCCCTCTCTGTCCCCTTTATAGTCTCTTGCTTAAATGGAACCGTTAAAAAAGTTTGAATTGTTTCCTTCCCTGAGAAGAAAAGTAGAGCTTTGTTGTTTTCTGTTGACGTGCCAAGTTTATAGCCAAAAGGGTTTGTTGTGTCGTTCTTCGCATGAAGTGCTGACAAAAATGGCGGCTCGGTTGCTCTAGGTTAGACGTCGTCTTCCTGTTAGAATTTTTGCAAACATTTTGCTTTCAAATTTGTTTGTCATAAATAAACTTCGATGTTTGGGCCAAATGTTCTTGTTAGGAAGCGCTGAGTTCACGAAGCGGCTTCTTCTACGCGAATAAACGGGGGTTGTTAACAAGCTCTAGCACAAAACTCAGCCACAGTAAATGGAAAAACGCCGGTTTGAATCCTTCCAAGTCTTTTCTTGCCTTAAAAAAAGTGAACCCTAAAAATGGGAAAAAAAACCGAGCTCACACATTATCCACTCGCTCGGAGGTCAATATTGTTGAATTGTCCGAGACAGGGAACCAATCAGATTGCTTAAATCACCAAGATCACTGAGTGTGTATATACTAATTGTAGATATGCTCATGACCTTGAACAAGTATCAAAGAGAATTAGTATAATCAACATAAATTGAACTATTAACGCAAAAATGTTAGGGCTCTAAATTTAGCTGAAAGGCATAGTTAACTATACCGACTCGCCAATTTTTTTACGTTTTCAATTTATTGAAAGTAAATTTCGAATACGTTTGTGTTATAATGCCGCATTCCTTAGCTGAAGTCAGTTAAAAAGGAAACAAAACTGTGGAAATAAGCCAATACGGGCCAAAACGATGTAGTAAACCTATCATACTCTCTGTAATCTAACACAAGCCGGGTGAATTCTTTTGGAGTAAAGCAACAAAATCTCTGGTCACCGGAAGAGGGACATTTGGATCAATATAAATTTTGAGAAACATCTTGCGATCCCATGGTGGCATCAAAAGTCCAACAGTGACGAACATCTCTTGCACTTGACTGCGATTCATTGGCTGTGGCCTCCATTGCTTTAAAGCACCAGAGTCTGCACAGCATCCCCACAACTACAAAACAGTGTATTTTGAGTTACAATTTTATGGTTTCGCCTTAACAACGAATCTTTTCGCGAAAACCACACTTGACTGAAATGAAACACTCACTGCCATTTTCGCCAAATCTTTTTTTAGCATAACAGACCAAATTTTTCAAATTGCACTCTTATTGCCCTGTGAGTGCCAATGAAAACTGTGCTCCTTAAGGGTTCTCGCTTAATATTTAGGAATAGAGTGATCTGACTGGGCAGTTTTTTTTTGTTACAAATTAATAACCACATCTGGCAGTTTCAGTGGCGGATCCCCCACCCACTCCCCCCACCCGACCCCCCCTCCTCCCCCCCCACACACACACACACTTATTTGTACACCAAACTGAGGCCCGAAGGGCTGCAAAAAAGTTTTTTGGTGACCACCCCCACTTATCTCAGTGTCTGGATGACCGCCCCCTCCCCCCTTTATCTGAAGCTCTGGATCCGCCACTGAGCCTGTTCTGTCGAATAATAAACCACCTTAGTGTTAATTTTGATGGAGCCTTATCACCTAATGGATTGTCGTTTGTAATAACTCGACGATTGCGGCCGCGAATTGAAAAAAAGAATAGTTCCCCAAAAAAGAAATAGATCGCGAAGATGGTAGTATTTTAAAGTAACGTGAGGTAAAGTAACGTAACGTAATTAATATAAAGAACCACTTTTTCCTGATGAAAATAATAGTCTTTCCTCTTTTGTTGGAAGCAAAACTAAAGAAACCTTTCACTTCACCAATCCCATCTAACTGGATCCAGAATTTTTTTGGTAAAATAAGGTAAATTTAAGTACCAATAAACTGGTGTAGTTCAAATTAATTCCCACAAAAATTAACGAACCTGACAGGAATGCAAACGATTTTAACTTCGGGTTTATTTCATTCAGCGTTAATTCCTCATACTAAGGTATTTTTAACTGTAGATAAGATATTTAAAGCAAATTTAATTGCATACCCCGCACAAGCCACACCATCCACAGCAACAAGGTGCAACGCCATGAATTGATAAATCTGCCCGGACTCCGGTCTCCCCAGACATCTCCACACTGCGTAAACAGCGCAGGGGTATGGGTAGGTAGTAGGTGGTGTCATTACATGATGACGTAAGAGAGTACCCTCCTGGCAGTTTCTTTGGATTGCCCCATTGAGCCAAGGACGTACCTGACAGGTATCAACAGAGAGTTAGAGTCAACTGACAATAAAATTTGGTATTTTACTATTCGCTTCCTTAATCTGTCTTGAACGGCTTTGATCAATATCCTCCTCAGCTTGTATCTTTTGTTGTCCGACCAGTGCATGATATTCTTCATGAAAGATTTTGCCTCTTTTCTCTTTACGGAACTTATGCGGATATCTGCAATTTTTCCAGAGTAACGTGACCCACCCTTGAACAAAAACATACAAGCCAAGGATGTCCTTTGGGACATTCACATAGTATTTTATCCAAACGCGAAAGTAAAAAAATTGAAAAAGTACCGCACTGACAAAAGCACTGGTATTTACATCTTAGCTAGGCCCTAGCGTAGTTCTTCTTAAATACTGACGTTATTATTTAAATCCGGCAGCAATCGAGGTCAGATTTTCTTTTCCAATCAAAGACTCTAGCGGCGACATCAAAGATGCACCATTAACATGTTGACCATTGTTAGATGTTAATGGCCGTGTCTGAGATTTCCGCATTGTTACCAAAGAACCTTACCAAAAAGCATTTGTGCATTTGAATCATTCTGTACATTTCTAGCATCATACAAGAGAAAGGACAATTGATTAACATGACGGCGATTCTTGGCCAAATGTTAATGGCCCAAAACTAAAGATAAAACCCAAATGTCTGATCAGAATTAAAGGGAGTTGTACTCACCAACTGTAAGCTGTGAGGATAAGAAAAGAATCCTTTTGTTTGTCAAAAGACAAATCCCTCCGCTACGCTGGGTCAATGGGATACCAGCGTCATCGCAGAATTGTACATTGGTGTAGTTCATAAATGTGAAGTTATTCAAGGCTTGAAAACTTTCACCTTCATAGATGAGCCCTGCCAAGAGATCTCTGTAACTCATATTACCCTGTGAGAGAAAGCGAGAGCAAGAAAACTTGGATTGTAAAATAACCGATATACCTACAATACTGGACAAAAGTCCTTAGGACAGTACTGCAATATTCATATTTTTCTATCATTTCTCGGTTCCCTCTTAAAACAGTACATCCCAAATTTTCTTGCAGTTCTCCCTCCCCCACCTTATACAAAGTTGAAACTCGGAAAAAAATTCTCGATACACGCGTCCAACATTGTTTGTGGGGTGAGGGGAGGGGTTGGACCTGTGTGAAACGCCCCATAAACGCGAAAGTGTCCCAAGACTTTTGCCCACGATTGTACTAGTAGACAGGGTAGCCTGCAGGGAGCAGACGCATTTTTCGGCTCTTGTTTGGAAGAGAGAGAAAAGACAACCTGAAATACGTCTGCTGTTTGGAGGCAATAGGCATGGTGACCACTGAGATTAGCAAGAAATAAAAGAAATAAGAAAGGGTAGAAAAAAGATAACATAAAATAAGATAACAATTAGAAACTGACAGACATGTGACCATCTATAACTTATAGATGTCCTGAATTTCAAAATACAACAATAATTAAAATTTACTAATTAATAAATAATTAGCAATTATTTAATAATTAAACACAAAATTGAACTAAATATCAGGATGGCAGTAAAGAACTGATCACCTTTTTTCACCTATGCAAGAATTTAAACATTTGTGGAAAAGATAGTACAATAAATAATGGAAAATATGCTACTTCCAAAATCGCATTTTCTCTTTACTAAAGCTACCGAAATTTAGTAATTCTTGCTAGTTTGGTTTAAACAACACCAATGTGCATTCTTATAGCTGCATTACTATGCGAGATGACAAATATGCGTGAATGGCCCATTGTAAACACTACTTATGAAACACTACTAAGGCAGTTGTCAAAGTATTCCTGACCTTCAGAGAAACAAACTGGCCCTGAACTGTACGTTGTAGCTGATCAGCGCTTTGTCTAACAACACTTTGCAGGGTTGTACCACTCATGTGCGCAGTGGTTAGTCCAGTCATTATGCCTCTTGAGGCAGGGTCCAACATAGTATCAGAAAAGGCCTGGGGTTGACTCACTACAGGTGGAGCAATTGAGGCTAGAAAGTCCATATCAACTGGAAATTGAATAAAACATATTTGACTTATGCCCGCTAACAACTGTTAATATAGTGTAAATAGTGTGAATATCATGACAGTTATATACCCCCAAATGATACTGTGCGAAATTTTAAAATTGTAAGACACTTGATTGCCTTATTTTTGAAATGCTTTTCTTCAAACTGGGAACTGAAAACAAGAATTAAACAAACAGTGCGATTCCATCCGCGCAAAATTATTTGTTTAGATCGGTTTTAGTTAGCGTTATTAGTACAGTAGAACCTTAGTAACTCGAACTCTGAAGGGAAACGAAAAAAAATGTATTTCTTTTCAATTTTAAAACATTGTATCACTTACCGTTTACATATTTTATCGCATTTATTTCCCATCGTATTCTCACCTTTAAACTTTTTTCAAACCGTTTGTAATATCTTTTTGCTAATTTTTATTTTTCACTCCGCCCACTTGAAAATGACCTCGTAGACGTCGAAAAGTGTCGCTGATTTTTATTACAAAATGTATATCCAAGGAACTTTTCATCGAGAGTTTAATATACAGTTATTAAAATTAGAATTTAAAGAATTGAACTTCTAAGGCAACGGCAGTGTCTTCTTCGGCAAAGTCTTCTGGACTTGAACCAGAGGCACCCAACGACAATTTTCGGAAGAATATCTGTTCAAAAGACGATTTGAGATCTAGAATTTTCGAAACATTTGTTGTAAAATTTCTTGCTTGCCTGCCTCTCCTAGGATTTTCGAACATCTAAAAACTGGTATAATTGCCCATTTTTAACGGATTTTTACCCTAAAAAGGTCACCTAGAATTTTCCGGAGCCTCTTTTCTGGCTGAAATTTTCGAAAAGGTAAGTTTTGATCCCTATAATTTTCGGATCACTAGACTTTCAGCTAGGAAATCCGAACAGATGAAAAATTTTTAGGGGATAAAAATACGCCTATATCTACCGTTAAAATACTAAAATACGTTTAACAATGCTATGTTTAAGTGGTTTTGAACTATATTCTCGTTGGGTACCCCTGCTGAACTCTTAAAAAAACCTTAGCCATGCACGTTCAAAGAAGGGAAATACTGAACAATCCATCGCCTATTTTAGGACGAGCTAAAACTCGTCCTTGAAACTTGAAAATATGCAGTTGTACGTCGTGGGTGTGCAGTTACGGCAAAGAAATGTACTAAAAAATGGGCTGGAAGTGCAGATGCAGAATTGTAGTTTTGTTTGTTAAACCTAATACTTTTTTTTTCTTTCAAACGTCACCGCCGTGTTTGTTTGACTTCCCTATTTGAATACTGAATGTCAAGATTGATGCGAGTTTCTTGCTCATATTACCGGAAAGGTTGCAAATCAAATTTCACATCACTATGGGCTTCATGAAGTATGACAAAAAAACGTAGTGCATTGTAGACACAATGTTTTGCCCTCTCGTTGTCTTAAATTGCAAATGTTAGGCCCGGTTCAGGCGCCGAACTTTTCATGAGCCGAACCTAGGACATTGACTTAAATACATGAAAAGTTCGGCGTCTGAATCAAGTAGTTCGGAACGGCTTAACTACAGAATACAGGGCAAATTTTCTAGGTATATTCGTTGGGGTGGCTCGGTGGCTCGGTAGTCCCGACTAACGAGCCACCGAGCCGTCGAGCCACTAAACTATATAACCGCGACTGAAGAGCCACCGAGCCGCCGAGCCGCCGAGCCGCCGAGCCACTAAAATATATACCTATAATCTGCTATAATACATACTAAAGTATATGCCTTCTATGTCTGTCTTATACTTTTATGTCTTATATCTTTCTCGTTCTTTAAACACTTGTTGTGACTAGCGAGCCACCGAGCCACTTCAGTTTAAGACCTGAAAATATGGCCCTGTATTCTGTCGCCTGTTTCAATTCGGAACGGCTCGACCGCAAGCAGTTTGACCGAAATGAGCATTTTTCTCCTTTTGAATTCTGTTTGGCTACTGGGCCGTTAAGCACGCTAGTGGAACGGCGTTTGAAACAGGCCAACGAGTAAGGTGTATGCATGTTAAATTTCAATTTGAATTTCACTCTCCAATGCACACTCTATATGAATAACATAGAAGCCAATTGTTTTTTTTACGTTAGCAAACTTGCGATACATGACTGTGTCGCCGTCTTACTTGATCCACTAGTTGCGTGGGGAGGTCCTTCAAAATTTCTGTTCGCCATCTCTTCCAACAGGATTGGAGCGTGAAAAGATACTGTCTTGTCGTCTGCTACCTCGAATTCGTCGCTACTAGGGCTTCTCCGTTCCGCTGGAAGGTTTTTGTAGCTCATTTGACTAGAAAACGTGCCCAGTTTACCCTAGAAATGTGGAGGCTTCGATTTTTCTAGGAAACTGTTGATGTTATCACGTGGTCGACTTCATTTTACTTTTGTGCGGGGTGGAGCTGGGGTTTTGTAAGTAAAAGTATTCGTGAGGCGCGAGCTAATTTCACTGGAAAAAAATCTCTTGGACGATAAAAATCGCATTTCAAGGCTTTTTTTATTTCATTTCAAGCTTACCAATGCGTGGTGGATTAGAGTTGAAGGGAAACGTTTAGTTTGAGCAGGCACACAGGGAAATTAAATCTGTCCCCCCTGATTTCGGGGAAAAGTCTAATCGTGTCTCTTCGGTCACGCAATCTTCATCATTAATCCTCTCGGAAATGGCTCTTAATATAGATGCATTTACCACTTTGTCCAGCATTTTTTTCTATTAAAAACAATTTGAAAATACGATTTATATTGCAAAGATTACCACTACTGTGGTCGTTGATGCTTTCGTACATATAATCTCAATTGATATTCAAAGTTTTGCAAAAGAGACGACGCGATATGACATGTATAATGTATTTTCCCACGATAGACTTACTTTCCTAATTTTAATAATGAACACGGAGTACTTGATGTTATTTCGGTCCTTAGAAATTTCCTTTTTTCTTCCTTTGTTCTCTTCATTTTCCAGCAACGGATGAAAAACAGAAAGATACTGGATAGAGATATTTGGCAGTTTATTTGCCCTTCATCACAGAGTGAGAAAGCACATGTCCTATATTTAATATTCTATTCTTGTTTATCATTATTGGGTCATTGTTCTCCTCTGATGGTTTTATCATTGATTCCAACTTAATTAAAACGTTGATATTGGCCAGTTTGAAGCGGCTCCTATTTTCTCTCCGTTGTCCCGCTTGATCACCAGTGAAAAATTTAGCACCTTAATATAATATTATGTTTATGTTGGTTAAAAATCGCATGGAAGCTCCGTGTGTTGAATTAACATTGGTGGATGATTCCTACTTCATGTATGTCGACAACAATAAAACAGCCGCTTTAGGAGCGTTTTTACTCTTGTCGTTGTTCGCGCGGGCTAAAAATGAAACACCGGGTGAAAAATATGTGTTTGATATCTGGGCTGCATGCTTGCCCCCTCAGAAAGACAGTATTGTAGTACCAATGTGGCATTTATGAAAACATTGAAGCATCGCTGAATGAAAGCTGAAAATTCACCAGTTGCAAACTGGAATAAAGATTCTTACCAGAAGAATTCATTTCTCGAAGTGGGATAGAGACTCTGCCGACTTCCTGACTTGTAAGGTCCGCGATTGGATTTTTGAAGCTCAGAGCGTAGTTGCTCATAGTTGGTCAACTTTCCGATGCTGTTCCCTTTTTCTCGGAACTCATTAACATGACACTTAAGTCTTCATTTCGTGGAAAAATGGTGAACTGTTTTCTTACTCTTGTTGATACATTCTCAGACAATAGATTTAAGCTCAAAGCTGGTTTCTGAGAAAAACACGTCTAGCTCCGGGGGGGGGGTACTTTAGGAATTTCTGGGTGGGGATGTGCCACTGGGACCCTGGAACCCTTAACCTATACCAGAGCTAGTTCAGCTGAATTTTGCTACCCTATACTACGGTAAACTCCTCAAATCCCCCCTATCCTAGAGTAGCTGTTTCCCTAGTCTAGATAAAATCGTCAACCAACTGATCAGTTTCCTGAAAAATGATACCCTATTCTAGACCCAAACGCTCTGATTTATATACCCTATTCTAGAGTAAACTGCTTGAAAACCATACCCTTCACAGCGGCACATACCTATATGTAGCCCATATATGGCAGTACCACCCCCGGGGTCTAGCTTAACATCATCATACCACGTACAGAGGGAAAGGGAAATGACTTCTTCCAAATTTGAGTGCGTTTATAATTAAATCAATGAATGTTTTTCTAACCAGTGCAACATTTACACCAAGCAATTTGCCACTTCGAACGAGCAATTTCTTGCCAACACAAAATTACTCAATGTAACACTACTATAAAGAGCTTGGCGAGATCTCTCTCAATATTCAAGTATAGATTAAAGTTCTATTTTTGCAATGTTATGTTGAGACATGTCCTTTTTTAACAGCTGTGCGACAGCGCAATAAGTTCAATACCATTTAAAATAATATAGCGCCTTAATCTATTATTTATATTACGAATGGCATATCCCCGCGTATCCCTTTCTTATAGTCTTAGAACAGCTAATATTACATTAAGACTGCACACTGAATGTGATGAAACACGATAATATGGGCAGGCCTTTCTACAAATATTCGAATATAATTATGGGTCATTGGAGGGTTCCGAGATGCTGATTATCTTTACAATCCGGTTCGGCGGGTTTCCACTTAAAAGTAGTATGCGTACATTCCTAAGAGCAGAGGCCATTTTCCAATAAAATGAAAGACAGGCTAGTTTTCTGTGTTTCACGCTCTTACATTAAAAAAAAAAAGGCAAATGGACATTTCCTCATGGATTTTTGAGTCACTAGGTATAAAACAGGTAAACATAAAATGGAAAAAAATAAATGACTGCATATTCTCTTTGAATGTTTTAATTATTTAGCAATTAATGAATGAGGCTGAGTAGGATATGAAGAATTCATTAATTGCTTTATTATTCATTCAAAATAATTCCTAGTTTAAAAACATAGATGCTTACCTGCATCGATGTTAAGTTCATCTTCGATAGTGTACGTTGAGGTTTGTCCAGCTCGACAAATATTCTCCAAATAGCAGATGTCGCCCTCCGAGTTGTCTTCTTGCTGTTTTTGCTATGTTTTTAGCCATTATTTCGCCTAGTTCCAGCTGTAGTTCTTACTCTTGAAACGAGTGGAGTGTCTGCCATTTTAGTTTTCGCAACAAACACAACTCAACCTCGTCCCCACGTCTTCTCGGTTAACGGTGCATTAACCAGTAGAAGGCTGCATTTTTGACGTCATTTCCTCGTTAAACACAAAATTCTTCCAAATTTGGTAATCAGTAACTGGTTATGGTGAATCATGCATGTGCTTTTAGCCAGTCAGAATTGGGGAAATATTTTGAATGAATAATAAAAGAATTTAGTTATCGTTCTCTTCTAATTCGATTCAGGAAAATTCTTTTGCAACAAGGCGACAAAATCTCTGGCAACAGGCAAAGGAACAGTTGGATCAATGTGAATATGGACAAACATTTTGCGTTCCCAGGGTGGCATTAAAACGCCGATAGTGACCCGCATTTCTCTGTAATGGCTGGGACTCTTTGGCTGTTCTGGCCTCCATTGCTTTAGAATTCTGGAATCAGGGCAGCAATCTCCCTGCAAATTTGAAACAATGTGACCTTCAAATTTCATGCCACTGCGACGTACTTACTCTAAGTATTTGTTAGCAGCTACATCAGAGTATTCGAACAGCACAACTGCAATCGATAGCCTTATAAGCTCTTATTTCTACGGCGAATGTTGACCCTCGTCAAAAACGAGTATTGCAAATTCTAATGACTAGCGAAATCACTCTGACCTTATACGTCTTCCCATCTGTGATCATCTGAAATTAACATATGCTAAAGCCTGCCGAGTATTCTTCTTTCTCGTACGTTCGTTTGCTAAGTTGGCTTTCTTCTTTTTCCAAGTTTAGTTTCTGGCTAAGGTTTTAGTTTAAGGCTAAGATTTTCCTAAGAAATTCTCGTTTATTGTCAGATCAATTGTCTTAATTTTGACTGATCCCAACATCCTAAAAAACGTTACTGGATATTTGGTATTTTGTCTTACCCCAAATAATCCACACCAGCGAAAGCAGCACGGAGCTTCACCATGGACTTTTACTTCCCCTTGAAAACCTGATTTTCCAAACATCTCTACACTGCGCAGACACCGCAGTGGAATAGGCATGTAGAAGGTGATGTCATTATAGGATGCTTTTAGAGAGTAGCCTCCTGGCAGCTTACTAGGGTCGCCCCACGGGACCAAGGACGCACCTGAAATTTGTATTTACATTCTCGTTGATTTGTTAACATGTGTCTTAGATGCACTAAATACTTTTCAAAAAATTTGACTGACTAGGAACTTTATTAGAATTAACATTCGTCAAGCCTTAGTCGATAAAACACCATCTTGATGTCTCTTGGCCCCTGAATTGCAGAATTCGATGCCGCACTGAACAGAAAAATAAATTGAGAACACTCTGCAAATATATTTTATATTTCCCTATTTTTTGCCAAACTTATCAGTCGGGTATTAGAAATAAAAGTTTACAAAAGAGTTAAGAGAGTAAACTGCAGACAAATGGGCAGCACAAGCTTTATTGAACCAGCATTAGCTAGCATGCGCAGTTAGTGTGTTTATCTTAATTCTTTCTCACCCATTTGACCGTGCGTGCTTAATGGGTGGTAACTGGCATAACAACCTGGAAACATGAATAACTTGTGCAGCTTTAAAAATGTGCATAAATAATGGGCGAAATGACTTGCGCAGTTGAAAAAATGTGCATAAACAATGAGCGAAATGGACTGTGTAAAATCATCTGTTAAGAGCCATAGTTACTTCCTAAATTACTTTTGATCCCCTTACCCCCTTCTCTCCTAGCAACTCAAGTGTTACTCAAGTGAAAAAGTTAATTGGCCACCGTGAAAAGGGCCCTGCGTCTTTAAAACCTTGACTGCTTGTGAACTTGCTCATCTTCGAAGTTTCAACTTTAAGTCCCACTAATAGAATAGGAAGGTAAGTTAGCTCCTGAAGCATTGTTGTTGTATTTTGGTTAATTTTACCCTCCGGTGTCTCTAAACTAAGTTACACTTACTAGCTTCACCAAACTGGCACAAGAAAAGAAGTCTCTTGTTGGTCAGGCGGCATATCCCACCGCTACGCGGCTCTGGCTCTGTGGGTTTACCTGTTTCATCACAGAACTCAAGTCTGGAGTAGGTAATAAACTTGAAGCTGTTCATTTCTTGAAAGGTTTCCTCTTCGTAGATTAGCCCTGTTAAAAGATTGTCGTAGCTCAGGATCTCCTAAAAAACATAAGATTGAAGAGCTATTATTAATATTATTATTATTATTATTATTATTATTATTATTATTATTATTATTATTGTCTCTTCTATAGCAGTCTTTGCTGGTGTTTTTTTGTGCATCAGCCGGGCTCAAACCATGCGCCTGGAGCATCAGTTTCTCAAGTCAATCATTCTGTTCATACACTAAGCACCTTTCTGAGGATTCGCGCAGATCCCAGTATGCAGATCTTTTGAATATATGTCAGGTAGCTCTCTCTGATACTTTCTTGATGTTTTCTATCATCCCCTTCTTTCGTTTTTATAATAATAATAATAATGATAATAATAATAATATTAAGTAATAATGAATAATAATTATTATAATTATGTTTCACAATCATTAAAACTGAAAGTTCTATTTGGCAGCGGGTCACGTTTCCTGGCTTAGTGGTCCTTAGTTGCCTGCGTTCCCTCTTCTTAACCTTGGTGTGAGTTATCCCATGTCTAATACTCTTCTATAGACCCTTGCTGTTACCAAGAGGCATACTTTCTGTAGCAGCTCTAGTTTCTTGGTTACGTAAACAGTTGAAAGAAACTTTTGAATTTTAGAGGCTGACAGTTTTTGTTTTATTGAAATGAAATGTTTTTAATTCGAATAAATTTTTCTCAGTTAAATTAACTCTTTCTAAGCTAAATTAAGTGCTTTTTAAATCGACAGGAATTGTAAATAGTGTTTTGAATGAATAGTTTTTTCTTTTTTTTCAAGCGAATTAATTGTAAATAGGATTTTAACAGTTAGCATTGTTGTCAATAAAATTTTTATTTCATCCCCTGTAACTATTTCCTACCTCTCCTCAGGCTGGTTTTTACTTGACACTATTCCAAGAACGCAAATAATCACGGGCACAACAGTGACTTCCTTACACTTTCAGATCCCTTTGAGCACCAGTGCATGACTTCTTGACTGATTATTATTATTATTATTATTATTACTATTATTATTATTATTATCATTATTATCATTATCGTTATTATTGTTATTACTATTTCATATAGTAAACATCGGTACTAGAGCTCCTTTCATAAATTGTTCTGTCTATAAAGTCATGCAATGACCTCAGACAGAAGGTACCTTTCGCAGGACATTAGCTGTAGTAAACAGTACTGATTTCAGCAAAGACGAAACATGCACTTTAATCCCGAGACTTTTAAGGTGGTGATGCAAATTCTTAGTGGAGCCAAGGGCACATATTACCACAAAAGCCACTTCTCTCCCCATGTTCCATACTAAAGGAATTTCTACTCTTAGTTCCGAATAGTTAGAAGCCCATACTTCCTGCTGGCACCAGTGAAGATAGGAGCATTACTTTATCGTGAGTCCGCTTGTAATCTTTTTGTGCTGGCATCTTGCAGCCACTAATACGATGTGGGTTTCATTCTCTGCTGTCTCGCCCCATAACCTACACCGATCCGACTCTACTTGGCGAGGGATGTCCTTTGGGCAGACTTCGCGCTTAAGGCTTGGTCTTGAGCGGCTATCAAGAGACTCTTTGTAATAAACCATCTGAAAGCAATGGTCACACTACACAACTCCGCGGTATGGCCAGTACCGTAGGCATGCGCACAGCCAAATCACCCGGGCACTGGCAGCTATGGACAGCTGTGCCGCCCTTGTTGGGGTTCATCAGCTTGGCATAGCCGTCGGGTCAATGAACAGAGAAAATCCCTCAGCCATGGACAGACTAATAGACTAATAGACTCTTTGTTTCGTGCCTTGATAACCAGTCACAGGATTCTTCTATCTTCAACGTTTTAGTATCCCACCAGTGGCATTGACTTCCCTTAAGGGAACCTTCGCTACCATCGATCATTCTCCCATACTCCTCCTTCCTTCGATGTTCTCCTCTACAAGATTACCGTACATAGTTTTAGCCAGGGCTAAAAGGGAAGCTCTCGTTAATATTTATAGTTTGCACAAACAAAATATAAAATTGTTTAAAGCTAAGCTATGAAGGCCACGACAACGGTAAAAAACGACAATAGGTCTAATTAGCATAAAACAACTTTGCGACTACAGCAAATTTTTTGAACATTTCTTTGCCGTTTTTTTGCATGGCTACATCGTGAAATTTCCAGAAACTTCCTAGTTACACATTTTATGGCGGAAATGTGGTACGTGTTCTAGTTTCACCTTTTTTTCACTGCCGCTCATCTCAAACTTGAAGGCCTCTTTTTCTCTGTTATTTTCTTTCTCTATATTCCAAATTTGTGGACAGGACAATTAATCTAAGCTTAATACTTTAGACAAAACAGATACAGAAACAATTTCCGCTTTCCGTTTCGTCTTTATTGACTCTTTAATTGTCTCTGCTTCACAAGTCGCGGGTGACTATGCGATTTCCCGCCAAAAAAAAAAACTCGAGATGCATTTAGCCTGCAGTGCAGGCGTTTTCTTTCAGCGCGCAATTTGCTCGCGAAAGCGCCATGTTGAAACTTCCTGAGGAGAGGAGGAAATAGGGCGAGTTAAAGGAAGCGGGGACTTCTCGGACTAGAAAGAAAATCGCTCAGTTATTCAGATCCTGAGGCACTTTAGACAAATATAAAGAACCTAACAGCCTTATTTAGCGACAAAAAGAGCTTTACACTTCAAAAGAAGTCAAAGAAAACGCTCTTGCATCAGAGGGCAAATCATGGAGACCAGAAATTCAAAAACCACGGAAAATCAATAAGCGTGTCATGACTTCTCGGTGTGAAACAAGCGGCTAAAATCACATTTTCTAGAGCATAATCTACTCGCCAGATACAAAACATATTGGAACAAGCAGCATTTTGGCATGAGGTAAAAGTGGAGCAGGTTTTAGTACTGCGAGCAAATCGTGTCCTGATGACCAGTGTAGAAATCGCTTTGACTTTCTCATTGCGTAATATATACACGCTACATTCCCAGCCGCTCCAATTTCAAAAGACTGACGGAAACGGAATAAACAATATAGACTTACAGTTAATTGACAGGCATCAATCTACTTCCCTATGCCGCACCAATCAGGAGCTCCGTTTGCCAGCGAACGGAGTTTCCCAAAAGAACAATGATATCGGGTAGGCGTTTTTTTTTTCTCCCCTCCACCTTCCCCCTTTCCTTCTTTCGCCCTCGCACCTACCGTAAGGCTTACTATTTCTACTCTCCCCAATCTTCCACTGTCATAAAATCAAAGATGGCGGCTACAACAATATCACGAAACCCACCATTTTCGGATCTGAAAAATTACTGTAATATCATTTCAGTACCGAGCTATAAATAACTACGGCACTAGAAACTCAAGAACAGCCAAACAAAACTGCTTAAAAACTACTGTACAGTACACAAATTTTATCCTTGTTGGCAGCCTCTTCCTCAGGCGCTTCGTTTTTCGCATGGCAGAGGCGAGCGCGAAGCGAGTCTCGCCCGTTGTCTCCTTCCCGCCTTCCTTTGCGCGCACATTTTCATCAAAAGAGAGACGTCTGGGTACGAGGCAGCCTTCTTGGTCTGTCTGTCATTCATCTCTTATCACACGTTGACATTTTACATTTGGGCTTATGCATTGTGTTCGTTATAATAAGGATTTTGTTAAATCGGGGTTCTGTTCCATAAATTTTACTATAATTTTGAAAATATTTCGTTGTACTGAGGACTTAGTTATTTAATTAGGGGTTCGTTAAATCGAGGTTCCACTGTATGTATTATTTCAGAAGCTCTTCTTTACTGCTTCCAACTTTTAGGTCCAACAATCTATGCTCACTGACAACACACTATTTTTATTATTATTATTATTATTATGATTATTATTATTATTATTATTATTATTATTATTACTATTATTAAGGAAATCGTACCACCCATCCTTACTTGAAGCCTTTACGTCCTGCAGGCTCATCCCGCTTGATAAGAACCCGGGAATCAGACCAATTGGTGTTGGAGAGGTACTAAGGAGAATAGTGGGGAAAACGGTCAGCGGTTTCTTA